CTAACCTAGTATGTGTGGATTGAAGAGAAATATCTTTTTTTGTTAATGCTTCTCCCTTTCATTGGATAATGTCAAGAAAGATTTACTCTTGAGACTTGGCATATAGTGCATTTGGTTGTTCTTGAACCTGCAACATTGGGTGAATCAAAGACATGTTTTGGTCTAACTTGATTCATTCAAACTTGAGATAAGCTTGTGCATTTTTTATTTTTCATTTTGCTCCCTGTCCTGCCTCCTGGAAAACCAGCCTCTACTATTGCTGTTATATCTCTGAGTCTTTCTTTGTAGCTACAGCAAAGTCTGAAGCATGGGATAGTTGTTCAAAGATTACCTCTGAAATTGTATAAAACTGGGATTCAAGTAGATATTTTTAGGAATGAAGACTTTATTAAAAGTTTGGTAGGCAAAGCCTGAAAATATTGCATTGTACATTGGATAGTTTTGCCACATATTAAGGATTGGGGTGTCCTTGTTTAGTCCAATTCAGGTAACAGATGCTCTCCTTTCTATTGTGCTTATAAACGTTAAAAAAATTAATCTAATCTTCCTTCTCTTACAGGCCACCACCTAAACCGAAGAAGCAAAACACATAAAAATAATTGATGCCTGTTGCTATAGGGGCAAAAGGACTTTTCGTACTTCTTTTTATGTCAGGATTCTTGCTACTGCCTGGGACTCAACAGTCTAAGATGCTGTATTGCATCTTTGTTCCGTGGCATTCTGAAATGTGTACATTTTTTTTATTAAAATAAGTAATATAGAGACCTGCTAGATTGTTTGTAGTTTTGAGAGGCAAAACTTGCAAAAATTAACAAAACAGACTGGTTCAAGGAATGCTAGCCTTACTCTTTCATTCATTAACTGTGCTTACCTCCTGCCCAATCTCTGCATCCACCATTTCAAAATAATGTATATGTAAAGTATTAAAAACACTTCCCATCATAAAACAATATTAAACAAAGTAGATTAGTGAAATGTGTATACAGTGTTGGCAGTTAGATGCTAAGGTGATTTATTTCCATTTTGATTTTTGGTTGACAATTTTCAGATTTGCTTATTTTTGCTTCCCAAGTCTGTTTCGACTCTTGGCAGCTGCATGGGCTCCCTGCAGTGTTTGTGGCAATGTTGTGTAGAAGTGCCTTGCCATTGTCTTCTTCCTGAGACAGAGAGACTGACTGGCCCAAAATCACCCAAGCTGCTTCATGTCTGAGGCAGAAGAATTCATGATCTCTTGGTTTCTAGCTGGATGCCTTTTTAATTCCAAACTGCCTCTCATCTCCAATTTTAAAGCCTTGCCAAAAATATAAAAATAAAATCCCAGTGCCTTGGATTCAGGAACAGTTCAGATTAACATTCAAATTGATAACAAGGTGGGGAAGAAAGCCAAATTGGAATGTAGGAGGAACTGTTATACTGTAAAAG